AATGAGCTCCGTGCTGGGTAGAAAACATGCCAAGATGTAATTATTGTCCCCACAAAGTTGTATTTTAAGTGATCACTCATGTCTGCATTAACTTGTTGGTTACAGCCATTTGTACTCTAACCTCATGTGCTCCAAAACACCAAACTGCCAAAAGTTCTGCTTTTATACAGGTAGTCACACTTCCTGATGATTAACTAATCTTGGACATTTCTTTAGTAACATCTGGCTGCTAATTACTCTCTTAATGACTGGAAGTAGGAACGGTGTACTTATTTTTTCCCACCTGATTTCTGAATGCTGGTTTACTTTTTGGAGAAAAAAAATATTATGCATATAATAATTTTTTTTGTTGTCACCCGGGGCTATTTGTTTGTATATAGAAGTTGGTGAGGACCACACAATTAGACCTTGATAAATAAAAACATAGAATTGAAGGAGGGTGTACTTTCTTTTTCTCATAACTGTAAATCCATCTATTTGCCAAGGAAGGAAGTTAGTTTGCCAAAAAGACTGAGAAATTTGCATGTTGGTTGCCAATTTCCGACCAGCTACAACCAACCACTTTACAGAACTGTACTATATGCACTTTAATAGTATGTGTCCAGATGTAGCAATCCCAGATTTAAAATATCTGAGAAAACTGTCAGGGTATTTTTTCTTACCTGCCAGGTCATGTGTAGAGACAGTGTGGAGGCACTGAAGTTTGGCATCCAGGAGCATCTGCACTTGCTCCTCAGCTGTGATCTCCCCATCTGGACCAGCCTGTGTAAACACAACAACAGCTCTTCATTCTCACCTACCAATTTCGAGACAGTAAATGGTCCATTACTAGTATTGTGAGTTGTTTTTTTTTTTTTTTTGCAAAATTGAGAACTTGGGATATTGAGACATTTAAGCTTACTCATCCAACCATAAACTGTACATTCAAAGATACTTATCTTTCTTCCCACTGGGCTTTCTCCTCCCTCTGTGATTTGTTCCCACTTTCTCCACTCTCCCTGCCATCTACTGCCTAGCTGCCCTGTGGCTAAGAACAACTAGCATGGATAAGTTGATCCCCTTGGTGCTCCTA